ATATAAAAATACAAAAAATAAGTAAAATGCACCCACACAAAGATGAATCGTATCCACTGTCGTCGCATCGGATCGCATCTCGTCGTTGGGTCACGAAAATGCTTAATGCCATTAAAATCAAAAAAAAAAAAAGGAAAAAAAAGATAATAAAAAAAAGAAGACCACAAAAATTAACTTCTCTATGGGAAAATAATTTATTTTTTATGGGAAAACCATTGTCGTTTCTCTTTTGACAGTCGCTGGTTGTTATTATTCGTATTTTTGCGCAATTTGCGAGTGATTTCAATTTTTTATATTTATTAATGTACTTCTTTTGCTCTTTGTGTTGTGCTTATTTATTATTGCCGAATGGCATTTAAGTTTGCGGTGTGGAATTGATTTATTTACTTATTGTCATTTTTTATGCTAACTTCACGAGACATAAATATTATGTTCTATGGGATTAAATAAATGAATGTTGTCTAAAGTCGGCAGCGTGTGGAACAATGATAAATGCGATTAGCATTATTCACGTGGTGGAATTGGTGGAATTCTGACAGTTTTTGAATTATCTATTTCATTAGGATCCAAACAAAAAATAAAATAATTAATAGCATAATAGTTTGCATAGTCACAGAGGATATACATATGTATGTCATCATGACATATTTCATTTATTTAATCCTATTTGAAGAACATTTCGTACTTCCCACAATATCACGCAGATTATTCGCATTGCCGTCATAAAATTTCACAGATTCACGTTGTGTTTAATCTAAAGTGCAAAAACTACGACAAGAATGGCAGTGAACGCAATAACATCTGTAATCACGCTTACAACTTGCCACCATATTGTTTTTCATCCTCCATCAGCTCCCCCATCAGCTGTTTGCCATAAAACGTATCTTAGACAACCAGAAGACGACCTCCCGCCAAGTTGGACTACTCGGGTACCCCAAAAGCGAGAAAGATGCAACGATGCGGCATGTATATAAACAAATGAACATAAAAAGCTAGAACGTGTTTGCTTTCCTCGAGTGTTTTCTTCCTCGCAACACACACATGTACATAATTAGCTGGCTGGCGCCCTCTTGCGAGAAGTGGCGACACACGTCGCTTATATCTTAGTGATAAAGCAATAAAATAGTTTTTTGTTTCGTCCTTAATTGGCTTACAATGTTTAACTGAGATAAAAGACAAGACAGATTCTATAAGCTACAAATAAACTTATGACATACATACAATCGTATATATATATATATGGCGTACTATGCAATTTGTTGTAATTTTTGCGTTCTCTTCCTTTCGGGTTGGCTGTCAAAACGACATTTCTGTAAACTGACTTTGCAGTCGCTCGTTGCCATTGTTTTTCTTGTTGGTGTTGTTTTTTGTCATTTAAACTAATCGTCTGGGCACTTTGGGCTGTCATACGTCATTTTGGCATGTCTCTCTACTTAGCCGCATACTTCCTGCTGTCCCTGTCCCTGTCCCTGCCCATGCCCCGTCAACCCGAATAGATTGTCAAAACTTTACTTGACATTTTATTTTTGTTTGCCCCGCCAAAGAGTTTCAAATTTCGCGCATTACCTGCCACAACTTGATATCGTTGTTGTTGCTGTCGTTGTTGTTTTTCTTAACTTATCTAACAATTTCAAGTTTTTGCAGCCGCTATGCTTCCGCTCTTTCGCTCTCTCCATGAGGCTCTCTACATTTGCTAGCGCCATCTGTCGATTGGAGGCAACACTGCATCTAGCTAAACTTATTCGGCTGCTATTTTTTGGTTTCAGCTTTGCTCGCTGCGCATTCAGCTTTTTGTTTTCTGCTGTTGTATTTTGGTATCTTATCGAGAGGCAAATGAAAACAAGCAAGTCATTAGCGAAAGGCCAAGAAGACTGGTGGAAATCCACTTTTGAATAATGTTCTGACTCATTTCTAATGAAAATTACAAAATAATAAACATCGGTTGTCAAAACACTTTCTTGACAGTCCAAACAATGGATAATCTTGGTTTTTTAAATTTCAAAGCTGTATATGTTAATTATTCATAACAAATATTCTTTTAACTAGTTGGAATAACTCTACAGTAAATTATAAAAAATATTAAAGTCAATAATTAAGTAAAACAGAAATGAAAACAGAGAGAGTTTTTTAATCTTGAAATCAGACTTTGACTTAGACCAACTATAATTTTAATTTACAAAAAAAAAGTACTTACACTGCAACAATAGCTCGGGTTCACTTTTGCTTGCACTCTTCGAAATCGTTGTGTGCTGTTAATCTTGCATTCTCCGTTGTTTGCTTTTCACCGTTACAGCGCCCGAAAAGATCCTCGAGCTGTGCAGGCATATTACAAAACTTTTAACTTCCACTTCCACTTTTGCATTCTCATTTGTTTCGCTGCAGGCGTCAATGCAGCTTGCTGCCATTCATTCACTTTCCGTATTGTTCAAGTGTGGGCGATGGGGGAGAAGAAGGGAGGCGAGAATACGAGTTAACTTTTACTGTTATTCAGCATTTCAGTTCACTTTTAGCATTGGCGTAGAAATTTCATTTCGTTTCCTTAACGAAACTTTGCTTTGGCTTCTGCTTCTGCTTCAGCTTCTGCTTCAGCTTCTGCATTGCGTTCTGCGCTTCGCCTGTCGCCTTTGAACTTTCCGCGCAACTTTATTTGCCGGACACGAATATAAAGAAATAAGTGTAACGTCAATAAGTAAATGCAAACAGACCCAAACACCCAACCACACACAGGCACACACCGACGCACACACACACACACACAGAGTCGGAGTTTGCAGTTATTTGTGGGTTTTTTATTCAGAATTTCTGTATTTCTTGTGGCTGCACTTAAGTGGGAACTTTATTAATAGTTTCTACTTTGTGATATGCCGTACAAGTCTACAAGTATTTTTAAAATTAAATGAAGCCAGTCGAACTTCTGCAACTATTTGGCTAACTCACTTGACTGTATGTGTACCACTTAGCCGAAGTTGAAGTTTCAGTTTTACACAACAGGCAGAAACCCACAAATCAGTGCAAAATATGCCCGCAATACACATTTGAAAAGATTGCCATATTTTTCAATAACACCGAATAAATTGTCGTAAAGAGGCAAATTCAAATTTCTTCATAAATTGTAATCTAAACCACATTTTGGCCATGTAAAGTTGTGAATTGCTACATTTTCCAAAAAAAAAAAAAAGGCAAACCAATCTTTAAACTTTTACTTTATGTTCCTTAACCTTTCTCTTGATATGTTTAAATTCACAGCTAAGGTTTGTCATACAAGAATCAAATCACCTGACAGACTGCTCATCTGGGCGGAAAGATCGAGCGGATTAAGTCTTTGGTCTATTGTCTAGATGATAATGTTAATCTGTTAATGTATCTGGCGCTGATGACGATAATTCCATTCAAGACAAATTAAAAAATGTAAGCAAATATGTCAAAACAGATATTTTATCAATTTTCGTAAGAAAATCAAATGTGCCAAATGATGCTATTTTTTCCTTGTTAATAATCTGTTTATTTATTACCTTTTTTTGTTAGATACAAATAGATAATTTATCAATATATAACTGATAAAGATACTGTTTTACACATTATCTATGCATATTCATTTTGTTTAAAATTATCGTATATATTTACATATTGAGATATGTACATAATGATGGATGGGTTCGAATTGAAGCTGAATGGAGAGTGATCAATCCATTAGCGGTATAAACGTTCTGCGAGTTCTTTCAACACTGCTGACCCCTTTGTGTGTGTGTGTGCGTGTATATGTATTTATTTCACACACATTCAGTTTAATCAAGCGGCTTTTGTTGCAATGCCAACACCAACGCCGGCGCTGTGGCTGTGGCTGTGGCAACCCAACCCAACCCCTCCAGCCACTCCCACTATTGTATGTGGCATGGAGCCGGCAATAGTTAACAGCATTGTTACACTTTTAAACGGTATTTTTTACGTTTAAATATGCGGCAAAGGTAGTTGAACCAAACGGATTCGATGGCGACTCCTCCTCGTCTGGTCTAGTTGTGATAGTGATTCTGATTCTGGTTTTTGGTTTGAGGTCTACTCTGCTCTGGTCTACTCCGGTCTGGTTGGGTCGGCTCCAATGCGGTTCATTAGCGCACCAAATGCGATTTGGTCTTTTGTGCAGCGGCCTATCCACAAGTCACCTATACACATGCGCAGCGTGGGCGGGGCTATGTGCCAGGGGAGAAGGAGTCAGTGGCCAGCGGGGTCGATGTCGCGTTGCGTCGCGTCGCTTTGGCGCTTTGGCGCTTTGGCGGTTGGCTCTGAACTAGAACACATGAGCACGTAATTTAGTAGCCGCTTTAGCGCTTTTGTGTGAAAATCACAACGACAACAAGACACAGCAATGAGAAGACCCCCCTCCTCTTCATATCTCTCTCTCTCTCTCTCTGTCTTCCCCCTGTCCATTTACCCATGCGGTGGCTTGTTGTTTATGGTCATGTGCCTCATTGGGATCACAGGCACTTTGTGTGTGGGTCCGGTTTTTGCCGTTAATTCCTTTTTATTAATAGCCAGCAACACAATAGCGAATGCTTTGTGCAAAAAGACAGAGTTCGAGAGAGGGAAAAAACTAATTTTGTTTGCTAAGCGCAAACTTTGCGTCCCGTCCATGACGTAAAACTAATCAGTTTTCATCTTTAGTATTGGTCTTGGTCTTGGTCTTGGCCTGAACTCAAAGTAATGTAATTGCCTTGCAAAATGGACGGTAATTTGTTATTGGTCGAACAAAAAGTAAGCCATTAAAGATCAGTTTTAAAAGGCAACAACAAAATGCTGTTCGAGTGGTAAAAGTAAACAGATTCATTCAAAGATAGACTAAAGAGATAATTCTTATAAATATTTTACTATCTTCTAAGTGCTGCTTATCATTCCGTTGCCATATAATTATGGGAAATTGGCAATAAATCACACATTTCATTTCAAAACCAAAATGCTGAAAGTAAAAAACACTCGACACTATCAGCAATGAATTCATCAAGAGATAATGAAAGCCTTTAGAATTTATTAATGCTGCCGATAAAAACTTAAAAATACAATACACATACTACATTGTTATAAATTATCAATGAGTTGGGAGTTTGGATGGGATTCGGAAGGGGATTGACGTATTTACATCATGTGACCTACTCGGCATCGCTGGCGACGGACATGTCGGGAATCAGATCGGCATCGACATTGACTATATATTTTGGATGTGGATTACAATTAGAATATATATTCTTTTAAGAGAATTATACATTTACTAGTTAATTGTGCTTACTTGCATCCTGACCATCGGCAGCAACAGACATGTCGGGAACGAGATCAGCGACTATATATTTTATTTACAGTTAGAAATACCCTTGAAAAACATTAAATATTTGATTGTTACCTGCTTCATCAGAATCGGCGGCAACAGCCATGTCCGGAATAAGATCAGCATTGTCGGCGACTGTTTTTTTGTATGTCGAGTTAGGAATAATCTTTACATTGACTTCATCATATTTAATAATTATATTGCTTACCCTCATCCTGAGCATCGGCGGCAACAGACATGTCGGGAACTAGATCAGCATTATCGGCGACTATTTATATATATTTTGATGCGGATTTAGAAATACCTTGGATATATGTTTAATTGTTTTGGGGCTTACCCTCATCGTGAGCATCGGCGGCAACAGACATATCGGGAATTAGATTAGCGTCGGCGTTAGCTGATTGAATGCACAGTTAAATTGGAACAGTTTCGGCTACTGGACGCCAGGTGGCGTGACTTACTCTCGTTATCCTCAGCATCGGCGGCCACAGACATATCGGGCACCAGATCAACGTCAACATTATCCTGAACTGGTGGGCTCATGAAACGGAGCATCGGCAATTTATCGTCGAAATCATAAGCATAGCTGGCCACAGACATGTCTGGCACCAGGTCAGCATCATCCGAGTGGAGCTGTGGCAGCACAGCGCCATAGACGAGGGGCAGAAGAAGAGCACAGATTGCCAAGTATTTCATTGTGGACTGTTTTGAAGTTCACTAAACCTGCAAGCCAACTGATCGAGGGTTTATATAGGCCAACCTTATCGCCTAATATTTAATTTACAAGCTAGCCAGTTTGGCTCGTCAGATAAGATTCGCGACTCGAGTATATCAAAACAACTACTATAAATAAATACTGTCGCATGCTTCAGCACAAACTAAAAGTGCTTTATTGGCGTAGTTGTTGCACCCTAAATATCCTGTCCTAAGGGCCCTTCAAGTGGCTCGCGTGTTAAGCACTCAATTACAATTGGGTCGACCCTCACCTTGAGCCTTGTCTTTTCTCTTTGTTCAGATGTCTTACCTGTTGATCCAAGGGTGTTCGTCTACCTGCCAAAATATCCTTTGTGCTGAGCAACCCCTATTAACCCTCAAACCCACGTCAAATAACAAAACAACAAAAACAATTACTTAACAACTACAAACTTTATTTCAGTATTTGGAGAGTATAATATTAAAAAAAAAAAAAAATGTATACATTTTTTTGTCTTCAATGACTTTTGTTAAGCAATATTCGAATCTCTCGAGAAAAGCACTTGGTTAATATGATAATGTGATAAATGTTTTGGATAATATCCATGTATTTAATAATGTAATTTTTGAATGGATATCCAATTTATCGTGGATATTAAGAAATAAAATAATAGTGTGAAATTCATTTGAAATTTGTATAACTTTGTTGCTCGTTGAAAATGTTTTGATCGGCGCCTAAATGCCCAATAAATCGTCATTGGACTCGTCGTCGATGTCCTGCGGCTCGCGCTTCAAGCGACTCATGTCAAAATCATCCGCCGCTATAATGCAGGCCATTTCAGAATCCTTACGTGGCGGTGGGGCGGGGGGCGCCGCGGGGCGTTGAACTGGCTGCGACGGAACGCGTTGGTCACCTAGGAGATTGGCAACGTTGCCGCCGGCAGATGGCATTGGCAGTTGTTTGGCCAGTGGCGGTCGCACTGTGGTCATCATTGGCTTCTGCGGCACATTGCCCTTCACATTGGCAATCACCAAATTGCGCTTCTGCTGTGCACCAACGCCACCACCATAGCTAGGAGCCGAAGCCAAACTGGAACCCGAACCAGAGTTGTTGTTGCCGCCGCGCATCAAACTGGGCGTGACAAAGTCCTTGAAAGCGCTGCCCTGAATACTGGCTATCTGTGGCGTCTTATGCGCCACTGGAGCACCACTGGGTCCAGTGGGCGTCTTCTGGCGCGGCTGTCCCCCGCTGCCGGCGGCGCGACGCATCAACAAACTGTTGCCCGGCGCAATAGCTGCAATTGATTGTCCAGCAGCGCCAGCAGCGGCGGGACTGTGGGAGTAGCGGGCTCGCTGCTGCACTGGCGCCATCGAGGCAGCCGCCATACGGCGATTCAGCATGGCGGCATCCGTTGCCGTGATTAAGTTGAGCGCCCCAGTGGGATTGGGATTGGGACCAGCAACACCACCCCCACCCCCACCAACACCAACACCACCGCAGACCGAGTAGCGTCTGCCCATTTGATGCACCAGAATGGGCGCCTTTGATGCGGCGCCCGTTAAGGGCATCACTCTAGGACTGCCACCAGCAATGGCACTGACACTGGCACTTTGACCAGAGAGCAAGGATGTATGGGCTTCCTTCGACTGCTGAGGAGACTTGGGATTGCTGCCGGGCACCAAGAAGGTGCCAATGCGAGCGGCGCCACTCGGGGCGCCACTTTTGCTGGTGCTGTTGCTGTCAATGCTGTCGCGACGCGGCGGGGCAAGAACCTTGCTATTGTTGTTCATCTGCAGTGTGCGATACATTTTCCTTTCCTCGCTAACTGGCGACTCACCCGCTCCTTGCTGCGGTCGGACGATGCGCTGCAAGACTTGGGGCTGCTTGGGTGGCGCCACTTGCTGATTGGCAACGGGCAACGGGGCAGCAGAGCACGAGGGCTGATCTGGTGTATGCTTGATAGCGCTCACAAAACTGACCAGCTCCCTAATCAGATGCAACTCCTGATCGGTGACATGATCGAAGCCCGAGGGCGTATTAATGTTAAAGTGCTGCACTTCGCCGCTGTTGGGAAAATCGGTGGCATCGTCGAATGTCTGCATTAGAGCATGAAAGATCTTCTGCTTGAAGTGCATTTTCTGGCGAGGATTCATCTCCTTCATCTGCGGCCGCAACATATCCAAGAAGTGATCATCCGAGAATTTGTCCTGGGACTCCGTCTGGCTGCCCCGGTCGCAGCGCTTGATCAACGCGAGCATGGGCTGAGTTATGCTCACAATGGGCGAAGCTGTTATCGAAGCCGTCTGCGTTGCGGTGCTCAAAGTGGAGCTGGAGTTGGAGCTGCTAACGGGGCAACTGGGGGCGGTGATCACCAAAGTGTTACCATTCGAAACAAGACGCTGCGACAACTGTAGCTGGGATTGGACTTTGGGCGGGGCCTGTGGCTGGGACTGGGATTGGGGCTGGGAATTGGGTTTGAGCTGGGACTGGGGCTCCGACTGAGTCTGTGACGTTGCTGTCGCTATCGAAGTGACCGTTGCGGGCTGCTTAAACACGTCGAAAGAGTTAACTAGGGGTACAGCACGTAGTCCTGCAGCAGATTGATTCTGTCCAAAGAAGGTCGACGGTATACCGACAGTAGCGGCTGCAGCGGCCAGTCGGGTTGGAGGCTGCTGACGAGCAACGGTATAACTAAGACGCAACTGTGAAGCGACTTGTTGTACGTGCGATCTCTGCTGGGGCAACGGAGCACCACCCGGTCGTCGGGCTATGACCAGCTGCTGCTGTTGCTGCTGCTGCTGCTGTTGCTGCTTCTGCTGCTGTTGTTGTTGCTGCTGCTGTTGCTGCTGCTGCTGTTGCTGCTGCTGCTGCTGCTGCTGCTGCTGCTGTTGCTGCTGTTGTTGCTGTGGTGGTAGTTGTGGTGGGGGTGGGACAACAGCCTCACGTTGTCGTGGAAATATGTCATCGCGGATGTTCACAGTTGGGTTGAGGTTCTTGGCAGGGGGCAATTTGGTGGGTGATGTCTTCGTTGCCGGCGTTGTCTTGGCGTTGACAGTCATGCGACCTCTGGGCAGCGGCAACATCTTAACGGGAGATGTGGAGCTGCGCAGACTGTTGGCGGCAGCAATGGTCATGGATCGACGACGCTGCTGACGTGTCTGGCGCTGCTCGACGACCACCTTGGTCAGCTGCTTGTTGCGAGTGCGACGCAGACGACGACCGCTACCAACGCTAGCGGTCTCATCGGGACTGTCGTAGCCCATCTGATGAAGGAGGAGTCGTTGATCTGTGGGATCTGGGTGCGATGGTGCCAGTTTCTTGCCAATGATAAGGTTGTTGGATGCGCGATTGTTGCTCTGCTTGACAAAGAACTCGGGCTGTTTGAAACTGCTTTTCGCAACACCTGCAGTCGATTCGAATGGGGCCTCGCACGACTCCTTGTCGTCGACCTGAGATCTGTTGGCCTCCTGCTCTTCCTCGTCTGTTTCGGTGACGCTTCGCTTGCGTTTATTGCTCTTCTTTTCTTTTGCCTCCACTTTCTTATCGTTTCTATTGTGATGCTTTTCTTTAACCATCTCTCCAACGCTGTCTTCGATTTGATCTTCCTTTTTTTCCTTTCCTTCTGCTTTTGCTTCCTTTTTTGTAAGAGGATCAGTCGCCGTCTCGGCGAGAGTTCTGCGTTTTAGATTGGACAGCAGTTGCTCCTCCACTGCCTCGTTATTATTGTCGGAGTCGTCTTTATAGCCGCTTGCCTCGAGCGTCGGCTCTTTGCTCTTGCTCTTGCTGTTTCGCTCGCGCTCGAAAGAACACTCACTCGCTCGCTCACTCTGGTCGAAGATAGCCAGCTGCGGCTTTAGAAACTCAAGCTCCTCGGCCAAGTAAAAGATTGTTGCTCGCTTTTGGCCGTTGCGTTGACGTTGCTCGTCCGAGCTCAACCAGCGTGTGTAATCGTTACGAATCTGACGCCAGCGTCGCTTGCACTTTTCCACTGTACGCGTGAGAAAGACAGAGAAAGAGAGAGGGAGAGAAAGAGACAAACATATATTTACCGTCAGGTAGCTTGAGTGGGTGGTTGGGTGGTTTATTTCGATACCTGGGCAGCAAAAAAAACCAGACAGCAAACAGATGGTCAATTGAGGCCTCATCTCAACGGTCATCCGTCATAATATGCATAAGTCTAATCCTAACTGAATAAGCGTCATAAATAAAAACACGTGTGGCTTCTAATTGCCCATTTTCATCATGGTTTACAGATTAGTTTTCCTACATTTTGCGTGACAGTTGTAACAATGCATCAGGTAAACATTCAAGTATTATATTCTTATATTTATTATTCTTAGAAATTAATCGAATGCTTATGCAACGCTGGCACAACTACAATAGCATCAGAAAACAGGTGCAAAAAAACTCTCCTTGTTGGCATAACCCGAAAGTTGTATACCAAACGCGAAATATAACCTATGAATTGTTAATGCTAGCTAACATTGAGGGGCGTTACCAGTAATCTACCTTCAAAGTTTGGTGAATCTAACTCAAAAGCTGTGATTTTATACGCATTTATGATTTTTAGAGGCGGGGTGAGCGTGGCCAGGAGATTTAAAATCTGATCTTTAAAGGACATAATCAGTAATTTACGTCACAAATTTGGTGACTTGTTGAGACTGTATAGGCAATATATGGAGTTATTGAGGTCTATCGATGTGTTATCGTGTCCCATAGCGATTCTTAACACTCTGACGAAGATAATGATGAAATATACATTTCAAGTCTTTAACTTCAAGAGCGTCGACAAAAGTTTACCTTCGGTATTAGAATAACAAAGTAGTCACGCCCTTGCAGACCGGAGTCACCCTATATTGTTTCAGCAGATGTGGCATTAATGTATACACCTGACTTCATCCCCTAAATTAAGAACCATATTAAAATAACTATATGATATAGTGGTCCGATCCAGTCAGCTTCGACATACATTCCGAAAAAACACCCTAAATTTAAGAAAATTGTCCGAAAATGAAATTTGCCCTGAAAACTAGAACAATTTCCCCGTTTTCTAAATATAACAAAAGAATTTTCTAGAAATTATAAAAGTATATAATATTTCTAAAGAGTCAAAATGAAAACTCTGAAAACTCTTAGGAAAAATCATTTCTGAAATTTAGAAAGTATAAATGAAATCTACTGTCTCAATTGCTATGCTAAAATTTAGTTGTTGGCTCAACTCAATTCGCGAACGAAAGGTCGAGGGCTCGAGTCGCCTTAAAATTTTTAATTCAAATTAAATTATGTGAATTTATAAAATATCCAAAATGTTGAAAGCATTAGTATTCTTTACAAGCAACCGAATAATTTATGCTAGAGTTTCTCGTACAAAAATATAAAAAATTATTTTTTTTTAAATATAACCTGGAATTAAGAAATAAAAACCGTGGTGCTTCAAAACATACTTCTAGAATAATAAGATGCGTTACCTTTTGCGCTAAAATGATCTCGGATTTCAAAAATGTAGGCTAATTATTTTGCTGAGTGTATAAATACAGATAAATTAAAAGTTTTATAAAGATAGTTTAAAAACTGAGAGACCAGTTCGTATGGAAACAGATGGACAGGGACAGACAGACTAGGCTAATGATATATATACACTATATCAGATCGGCAACGTTGCCTTTAAAACAAGCCTTACGGAAAATCGTATAAGCTGATTAATAGTAAGTGGTAGTTTTCCGACTTTGAGGTTATCTACTAAAATTGATTAGTATTTTATTTTGAAGTATTCGATTTTTCGTAACCTCTTTCTAATTCTAACCAAAACATTGAATAATGCACGCACATGCATTCTTCTATATATTTATGCAGCTGCGGGTGTATAGCCCGCTTGTTGTTCATTATTATATTATAGCATGATTCCACTATCAATATTTCTTACATAAATTATAATATTTCTTACCGTAAATTTTCTATATTTTCTCATCGATGTTATCAAAATTATGGAAATGTCAATGTTTTTGACATGATATATTGGAGACTTTAAGTAAGGGATTTGTTCTAAGCTATTTATTAATTTTAATTAAGTTAAATATACTTATAGAAATTAAATCCATTTCTATTTTCAAATTTATTTCTTATTTATTGTTTTTTTTGCGGTATTTATTGAAATTAAACGAAATTAAATGCAAAGTAGTCTAATAATGGAATCGCGAAATGTTAAGAATGTGAATGTTAGAAATGTTGAGCATAAGCTCATAAGCGATAAGTCGCTAATGCGCCCATCTCTAATTCTTGCCTAGTCCTTGAAAATGTTCCCAAAATTATTTTACGTGCTTTGTACTAGTGAAGAATATACTTGTTCCTAGTGCCGCTTACAATCTGCTAGTCAACATAAATACCTTAATAGTTTGGCACGATACTTTTGGACTTCATTGTTATTGTAACCTAACTTACACTCTTTAATTTTTTCACAATATCTTAAGACAGCAAACCAATGAAAATAATACTTGAAAGAGGCAGAACGCTGTGGTGAAATAAATATTATCGATACAAAACATAACACACCTTAAGCACACTGGCCAAATGAAACACGGTATTCTACGATTTACCAACACCTATACATTATCATATCAAAAATGCTATTAAATATTTATTGTATATGATTTAAAATGTGGTAGTTAATTTGAAAAATCCTTTGGTAAGAGAATAATTCGCAAAAAGATATAAATTCAAACATTCGTTAAAACCAATTTGAATAAATGTGCTTTCAAAAATTAGCAGCACGGCAGTGCTGCCAACTCGCGTGCAGCGCGCGCCACCCAATACACTCGATACAGGCGATATGCGATAACGATAAGCGCAAATGCGCACGCCTCAATTTGCAACACTACTTACCCGACATCCCGACCTCGGATGCCACTAAATCCCAGCAATTCTCTGAAGGCATTCTTTTCCTATAATCTTCATTACTTTTATCGTACAAAATCGTTTGTTTCTGCAATGCGCGGCATAGTTTGATATTTATTTTGTATGAAGCCATGACTTAGCCACTACACACACGCACACCACCGAGCACTTTGGGTCAATTATATTTCTTACTTCAACACGAAAACTGGCGAGAAACTTGACAGACACCAACACGCGCCTCTAAAGTAAAACACAACTGACACAGCTGCTAACACTACACATATACACACACACACACAGAATCAGTCGCATAGACATGCCATCAGAGAGCGCGAGAGTGCTAAAGAGAGGCGAATAATGTGTTAGTGTTGGTGATTGTGATGCAGACTAAATTGGCTTGGCAAAGTAGAGGGTTGCATTATCGCTGCCGCCGCCGATTTTTCTTTCCGATTTCAATTAATATGCCACGGCAAAGAAATGCTTTACGTGGCATCCACTCTATTTGTTGTATGTTTATGTAAATTTATATAATATTCCGAAGCTTTTCACGACTTTGGCCTTTAGAATATTGAGTTTATACGTATTAATTATAATAATAAACAAATTATTAAGATGCGAAAAACCAGGGCTTCGTTACAATATCATTTCTTGCGCTGTGAGCAACGATCCAATATCATTGCCAGCTGTTATTATTATTTATACACTCGCTATGGCAGCTAATTTCAAGCTGGCAATGCCGTGTCACTCCTCTTGCGCTCTGGGAGCCCAGTTGTCAATGTATGCGTGACCAGTGGCGTGTTGCTGTTTTGAAAACGTTAAGGGTTGCTAGACGAAACACTTCGGAATCCCCTTCGCATTGTTAGTCATGCAGACTGTGCCTATGTGTGTCAATTGAGTGCATTTGTTTAGCCGGCAAGCACTCTGTTTTGCGACTACAAAAACAATGCGTATATGATTCATTTTTGTATGTTAGTTAGCTTACTGTTAATGCTCAAAGATATTTTGTGGCATTTATTTCAGTGTTAATATCAACAAAATAATTCGAGTCGCAGTATTAAGTATCTTATCAATGCTAAACTGCTGAGAGAGTGAGAGGCAGAGAGAGAGAGAGAGACCGCGAGAGTAAACGTTAACCCAAATAAATTGTATCGGTGTGTGTGTGTGTGTGCGTGTGTACGAAACTCAACAACAGCAATTTCACCGCGACAGCAACAGCAGCAGCAACAGCAGTAGTTGTAGCAACAGCAGCAGCAACAGCAGTAGCAGCAGCAGCAGCAACAAAAGGCAAACGAAAGCGACTGCAAATCTTAGCAATTCCAGTGCAAATAGCAATAAACGGATCTAAACAGAACAAATTGCAGGTAGGTTGAGCGTGAACACAAGGCAGCAAAAAGGTTGCACATATTTCGATATTAATGCGAGTGTTGCTGCTGCTGACATAGCACAGAAAACGCGCCAAACAGCTGTTGCGCCCCGCACAGGCAAACGACAACAGACAACAGAAACGTCGCAAACATTTTGCTTACGGACGTGCAGCAACTGGAATTCGTTTCTCTTGTCACCTGTACGAGCAACGGTTTCTTTGTGAGTGTGTGTGTGTCTGAATGATTGTGTGTGTGTGTGAGCATCGCAAGCGTCGCTGTCAGTTTGTTGCTGTGGAAACGGACGCAGCCAAGTTGCAGTTTTGCATTGGAGTTTTATTGTGTGTTGTGTTTGCTGCGCAGGCTTGAATAATTTGCGTCTGTCTTTGTTTTTGTTATTTGATTTGCAGAGGCAGCGGCAACTGCAGCAGCAGCAGCAGCAACAACCAAAATGAACACTCGACGCAGCACAGGAAGCATAAACAACAACAGCAACAACAACAACAACAAAAACAACAGCAGCAGCAGCAAAAGGAGCTTGAACAACAGTTTGTATGGAGCAGCGCTGACCACAAAAACGATAACGCCGGAGTTGCACGCGATCAATGCGAAGATCTGTCGATTGGTGGAACTGCATCCCTGCATGTACGATCGCTCGTGTCCGACGTACATGCGAAAGTCGTATGTGGAACAGGCCTGGGAGGATATATCAAAGAAAATGAACGATACCGGTAAGTGGCACATTTCACAACACATCTCGACCAACTCGACACAATCGATGACTAATCCATGCATGCACACAGTTGACAACTGCAAGGAGCGCTTCAGGAATATTCGCACGAGTTTTGCACGGTCCATCAACGTGCAACGTGGCTCGAATCGCATCAAGCCGTATTATCTCAGCGAGGAGCTAGAGTTCTTAAAGAGGCACATTACGCCCGGCGTGCCGGTGCCTGTCAAGGGCAGACGTTCACGAGACGGCAATCGGCGGGGCGACGATAACGACGATTATGACGACAACGAGGATGAGCATCATGCGGGAGCGCTGCTGCATATAAAGCACTCAATGAGTAGCGACGGCAGCACCGACGATAGCTCTGAGTGGGTGGCGGACGAGCATGCGCAGAGCTTGGCCAGCCAGACGCTGGATAAACCCGAGTCTGAGTTGCACTCACATAGCGATGATGCCGACCAGAAGCCGACCAATTTGCAGGTGCAGCCGATTGTTACACCGCAAACATGCCCCTTTCCGCCCAAGAAGCGGCGTCGCTTGCCCGCAGACCTGATGGCCAAATCGAATGAAGTAAGCAGAAGTAAAAAATAATCGTATACAAAATTGACCTACTAAAGTTTACTCTACTCCTGTTTACTGCTGCCACAGGTAATTGCAAATAGCGCAGAGGCGGAAGATTCACCCGTGGATAACAAGCCGGCAGTGATGGACTTTGATGACGCCTTCCTGCAGGGCATTCGACCCGAAATGAATCTCATGAACTTCCACCAGAAGCTGTACTTTAAGCGACGCGTCTACGACTTGCTTGGCGATATATTTGAGAGTGCCGAGATTGCCAACGGTCAAGCACGCTCCAACGGGCAGTCTGAAGCTGCGCCTACATCGCCAACATCTCTGCAGCATCTGGGCCTCTTTGCGCGCTCGGGGACACTGCAGCTGCCAAAGCTGGCTCCCAAACCAACCTCCAAAGAGCTATAGGTAGAATTAATTATGATACTGTGCCCTCCTCCCCCCTAAACAGCAGTGCCCAAAGACGGCCGCAGCTGCAAACAGAGCTGTGTAATCCATTCGAATTTACGCTGTACAGTTATTTCACATACCCATTGTTTTGGGTATACCTATAGTTGTAAGACGTTACACATTTTGAGATGTAATATTTACATTCGATACTATGTATTTACACACATGATTGCATAATTATAAGTAAGCAAAGGCCTCACTAAGTTCGCAACAAATATACTAAGAGTTCACTTGGTCTGCAAATGTCATCTGTTGTTTTCTTTTTACCTTATCTTGGCGCCTGCTGCTCACATAAAACGCTACGACGTGGTTGTATCTGTTGAGTTTACTCTTGATGGTCAGATGTGAGCCGCTCAGCGAGCATGTGAGTTTGTTCACATTCATCATCTAAAATATTTTAATCACATTTTTTGTTTTGTTTTGATTGGCATATTGGTCGCAGGGGAAGTATATGAAAACTCAGAATCAAAACCGCTGCACCAAAAGTGTTAAATCAATTCAAGAGTGTATATTTTTACCAGATAAAACAAATTGAAGCAACGAAAAAATGTTGCATAGTTTTAGGCGGCAAGGGAAATTTAAATCCGATTTAAGAAAAAAAACGTTTTTCCCCCGTTGTGCTTGGCTCGAAACCAGCTGTGGCTGAAACTGTGTTCTGTCAATTGTCGCTAATAGTTTGGCCAAAAATGGAATTCTCGTTTGAATATTGCATAAGTATGTTTGTATGTATATTTTTATTTTTTTTTTTTTAATATATTTTGTATATTTTTAGCAAATACTTTTGTAAATGTAAACATTGATTTTGTTGTTTAAATAATATAATAATTAATACAATAATATATATATATATATATATGTATATATATATATATATATATATATTTATTTATTTATCTTTCCAGCATAATTTATGGCATAAAATACATAAAATATTATTGTTTTACTTTCTTGAATTTCATGTTGTTTTTTTGTGTGGTTTGCATTTAGAAATTTCATACCAATATTATGTATTAGAAAATACCGTTGTTGCAAAAATTTTTAATTTCTTCGCATCGATTTTAAGATTTAAATACGTAAATTAGTTAATATAGTTATGTACAATCAATCGTTATATAACGTATATATATTTATATATGTATGTATATATGTATTTATGGGGCGCTGATTAAGGCCACGCCTCATAAAAATTAGAAAAAGTTTTAGCAATTGCACTTTAAATTATTTAAATATATATGTTTAAGATAACACGCAAAGATCGTTCTCTAAATGCAGATACAAAACGTCGAACTCTGTTTCTTTTTCCTTTTTGTTTTTTGTTTTTGCCTTAAATCTAACAAATTGTGGCGCATTGTTTATCATCAATTTTTATCATCTCATCTCCGCCTTTGCTTAGGCAAATGAAATCTTGACCGGACCCAGCGGCAGCTGTTTCATATAGTTCCAGGCATCGACGCGTGTCATGCGCGCCGTGGATGCGCCATTGATGCTGAGGATCTCGTCGCCATTGCGCACCTGATTGGTCTTCTTGGCAGCGCCACCTGCGAGGAAACCCAATAGAAACGAGGGTTACAGTAAAATTCATGAGATGCGATTGCCAGCGAAATTTACCCATGAAAACCTTCTTGACAATCAGCGGGCGATTACCCAGCGGCGAGTCAAAGCCACCATCAATGGAGAAACCCAAACCACAGCTATCCTTGATAATCTCAACACAACGAGCACCGCCGCCGGCAGCAGCATCCTCAGCTGCACAAAAAATGGTGGGAAAATGGAAATTAACATTGGATCTGGATCGATCCCAGTTTGGAGCATTTGCACTTACCATGCGCTCGAATCTCAGCGGCAATTGCTTGACGTGCCTCGGCTGCGCGCTCGAGCAGCTCACTGGTGCTCAACTTGGCGGCATCGCCGCGCGAGAGTTGGCGCCTTGCGCGGATGCCGGCAATGGTTGCCTCCGCATCGTTGCCATTTGCCTCGTCCAGCAGACTGGCCGGCTGCTGGGGACTGTTGGTGCCAGTGCTGGGCGTGCTGGGTGTGCTGGGCACTGTGGTGGCACCGCTGCCACTCTCATTGGACACAATGTCCAGATCGAGGTCGAGGGACCGCGATGCCTTGTGATAGTTGCGCTTGCGCTCGTAATCCAACTCGGTGGGCTTCTCATTCAGCGAACTGAGCGAGCCCAGCGAGGAGCGTTTCTTGTTCAGCGGTTTGATCACAAGCGATTCGGAGCGAGTAACCACTAAGACAACCTCTGGACGGGGTGTCTACGGGGATAGTTGATGATGATTGACTGGTAATTGAGGACAGTGAAGAATGTTTAGCTTACCTTTAGCACGCTGATCGACTCGCGATGGGTTAATCCTCGCATGCTCATGCCATTCACGGCCAGAATGCGATCGCCCTTCTTCAGGCGTCCGTCCTTGGCAGCCGGCGTGTTTACCAGTATCTTGTGGATCTGTGCACAGAGAGGAGAGAGTAATTTGTAAGAGTTATCAAGACTGCCATGCAAGGAATGCCTTACGGTTATCTCCTTGGCCTCGTAGTCGGAGCCACCGGCTAGCGTGATGCCAATGCTGCTCTCTGGCGTATCCCGTTGCAGCACAATGATGAATGCCTCGGGCGTCTTCAGTGGCGGATCGGCCTCCTCCACAATCTGCTGGACATCCTGTGCGGTGATCAAACTCTGATTGCTGCCCAGCGATGAGAAACTGCCAAATTCGGTGGCCGTCTCCTGTGTGGTGCTCACATTCTGTGTGGTCGAGCTAACGCCCGACGAACTGGATGCCAATGAATCAAGCGAACTAAAGCGTTCGTGATGTGGTTTCGTTGCCACCATCGCAACACTGGCCAAAACTTTGTGCATGGCTGTTGGTGGTGCAGCTACTGCTGCTGATGATGGTTGCTGTTGTTGTTGGTGTTGTGGTGGTGCAGCCGCAGCAGCAGCAGCACTGCGCTCAAATTTCTCTCGGAGCTCAGCGGTGCTCGTCTGGGACTTGGTCGATTTGTTGATAGTGGTCTTGTTTGTTTTCGAAGTGGGGATCAGAGCCAGGTCACGTTTTGGTTGGTTTGTCGGGTTAATCACTGGCTTGGCCAGCACTGGCAGCAGCTTGGACTGCTGCGTGGGATCCGCCTTGAAGCTGGCCTTGCGCTCCTCGTCAATGAACATGGCACTGATTTTGGCCGGCGTATCCGAACGTCGACTGCTGTCATCCGTATCCGATGTCAGCTCCACATAGGCAGCCACATTGATTAGCTTATCCACGACCAGTTGCTGCTTCCCCAGCAACTGTTGCTGCTGCTGTTGCTGCTGTTGCTTGTAACTGGATTTGAGACGACGTCCGTTCAAGACACAAGGCTCGCCGTCTGTGCTATCGTTGTCGTTGTCATTGTTCATGTCCTGGCCGCGACTCTTGGCGCTGCGGCACTTGGCCGACGCCAGGATGCTCTTCCGATTGCCCAATGCCAGCTCGGAGCTATTGTTGTTGTTGTTGTTGTTGTTGCTGCTGCTGTTGCTGTTGATGCTGCCATTAAGCGAACACTTGAGCACGCGTCGCGTCAGATCCACGGTGGGTGTGCTGCCCAGGGAGCTGCAGCTGGCCTGTGAGCCGGCCGAGGAGCCGGATGTCAGTGTGGAGGTGTTTGAGCTGGCTATCGATGTATTCGTCTCCGAGCTGAGCGTACGGGTCAAGGCAAACTTCTCCGGTGGCGTTGGCACGCGAGCAGTCGTCGAGAACACCGAATCCGTGTCGCTCTCCTGATCGGCCAGCAACTGTTGCTGTTGCTGCTGTTGGCTGTTGCTGTTGCTGTTGCTCACATTGATGCGGCTGGGCGTGCTTAGGGCGGCACAGAGCGAAGTGCGTGGTGGCTTTGCCGGCGGCTGCGACAGCTGCGATTCCAAGGGACGACGCTGCGCCAGGGCAAAGATGCTGCGATAGTTGCTGACATTGCTGCTGCTCCCGTTGCTCCCGTTGCTCATGTTGCTGTTGCTGTTGTTGCCGTTGCTGCTGTTGTGTCGAAGGGGTCGTGTCTCGCCCAGGCCGCTGTCTGTGGAATCCTCGCCGCTGGCTGCCTTCACCTGACTCTTGATCTCGGGCAGATCGAGGATTGGCTCCAGCAGCTGCGGTCGCTCCGGTATGACTAGGCCGCGCAGCTTGGACAGGCTGCGACGCCGCTGCTCCAATATATTGGTGATGGCCGCCTTGCGCGTCGCCGCATCCCCCTCGCCCGAGAAACTAATGCGACGCTCCACGGCGGCGGCAGCAGCAGCAGCGCTACCATGACTGCGTCGCGGCAACGATGCATAACTGTAGCTGGGCATCGAGTTGGGCGTGTGTGTGTGTGTGTGTGGGTGTGTGGCTGTGGGCGTGTGGGCCAGTGTATGCAGCGAGTACATGGAGTCGGCGACATGCAGCTGCGGCAACTGCTTGGCCAACTGGTATTGACGCTGCACATCGTTGAGGTTCTCAACGCTCATGGCGCGCGTCTTCAGCAGCGTTGAGGAGGCGGAGGCGGAGGAGGCAGCCTCCAGCAGATTCTCGCTGCTCATGTTGAGTGGCTTGCGGGCGAAGGCGGAGCTGGAACTGGAGATGGGCGTGGGCGTGGGTGGGACAATGCTGTCCAGTTCGTTGCTGGATGAGAACATGGCGATTTTGTCGCGCACTGACTTCTCGGACTTTTCATCTTTGCGCCAATCGCTCGGCTTGCGATGCGACGAACTGGCGCTCAAGGAACGTTGGTAATCACGAGCAACAGTTGGCGCTGCTACTGTTGCTGCTGTTCCTGCTGCTGGTTCAGCTGAACGCGCATCCTCCACATTGACGACCAAATCTTGGCGATACAATTTACGCGGCACCGTTGGCGGTGGTCCCGTTTTGGGCAGCGGTGGTGCAGCTTCCAGTTTGTTGTTGCTGCTGCTGCTGTTGTTGTTGTTGTGCTCGTAGCTGAGCTCCGTTTTGAGGGCCGCCGCCTTAAGGAGTGCGGAATGAGGCTGTGTATGCATCATCAGTGGCTCACTGAAATTGGGCGGAAACTCATGGCCATCGGGCGGCAGACGGGAATAGGTCGGTGGGGAAGCGTAGCTCAGGTAATCCTGCACCAACAGCTGTTTTGTGCTCGTTGTTGTTGCAGTTGCAGTTGCAGTTGTCGTTGTTGCTACTGTTGGGCTGCTCAGCAGCTCCATTTTGTTGTTGTGCTGCTTCTGCTGCAAACTCTTGCTTAGAGTCGGTGTCGAAGTTGAAGTCGAAGTCGTTGCTGGAGTCGGATTCGTAGTCTTTGATGTTGTTGTTGTTGCCACAAAGCTCTTCTTGTTGTTGTTGTTGGATGTTGCTGCTGCTGTTGTTGTTGTTGTGCTGATAATAGTGCTGTTGTTGTTGATGTTGTTGTGGTTGTTTAGGGTACCAAGATCTGTAATAGGCAGTGGCAGAGATGGGTAAAGGAATTGGTTAGCAAAAACACACGAGGAGCAAAACAAGTGGAGATATAGGCTTGGATTGATGGGTAGACTGTTGATTATGTAAAGCAATCGATGTATATATTCTTTACAGATCGATAATACATCGAGGCATAATTAAAAAGTTTTGCTCAAGGAGAGATGCAAGATGTATTTCGTTCAAAAATGATTTTCAGTTTAAACCTAATTTGTAATAGAGTAATTTAAGATGCTGAATTAATGTTGTTGTTAATTAATAATAATTGTTGTTAAAATGTTAATATTAAGGTTCAGCTAAGACTAATAATTCAACACAAATTGGATAGGGATTAATGGTTTCAATCATCAAGAGGATAGTTTTGCACAGCTTGGCTTCTTCATTACAGGTAAAATGAATTCGAGTAGTAAGCTGTGAATGAAGTTTTAAGGCAGAATTAAAAAAGAAACAGTTTAAAAAACAATTTTCAAACGCTTTTCCATTAGCCGCTTGGATTGGCGATTACAAGACGATAATTATAATTGTATTTGTAAGCCGAAAATGAAACCCAAAAAACTTTCGCCCAAAAGCGAAACAGTTGTCATTATGCGCTAACACCGAGCAGCTTACGTGGTAAATAAATCTCCCCATCTACAATTAAAAAACCGCAAGAGTAGCAGCAACAGCAGCAGCAGCTGCTGAAAATTGTTGTGGTTAGTTTGTCTCAGGCGTAGCGTTGACAAAACGTCTTTAATCAACATAAAAGTAATAATAATAAGTAGCCATAATAATGCCACAGATACAAAGATTTAAAACAAACAAATTATGGTCAAAACAAAAGGGTTTCTTCGCGGTTCGTGGCTCGTGGCTCGAAAGCGAAAGTTTCGCAAATGAAGAATAGAAAAAGTTGATTATTAAAAACAAAGCAAAAACAACAACAACAACAACAACAACAGCAACAAAACAAAAATTAGCAGAAATCTTTTCATTTTGCAGGTTGACAAATTTTTGCGGTTGTATTGCGTATTGAGGTCATTCGTTGGGGGAGTTGAACCCACAGCTAATTGTTATGCCAAAATCTGAAGCTAATTTATGCTTGAAATCTTTATTTAACGATATACTAAACAAGTTTCCAATTGGCGATGAAATTTATACGCTGATTTCTTTGCTTGGCCAAAAAATTGAAGTTCGAATTTCGATTTCGTCAAATGGACAAACTAGAAATAGCAAAACGCCCACAGAATAAGTGTCTAAGAAATTCTACATACATCTAAAATTTGCATTTTTAATTAAGCTCAAAGAAAACAGTGCAAAAAAAAGAAAAATAGAAAAAACGAGGCTAAGATTCATTAAAATGGAAACTGCTGTGGGGTTTTACTTTTTATACCCCGTGCTTATCAGAAATTGCTAAAGAAGATATAATCGTTTTATGCCAAAGTATGGCATCAGGAAACAACACTTCAAATTTGGAAAATATATTCTCGTATAATCATAAATGCCCCGATTAACGAATACCTATCTATCGATTTCTATCGATTTCCGCTAAAGATAAGATTGGCTCTAAAACTAGTATTGATATGTAACAGGGTTCAGGGTATATCGTAGTAGAGCTCACTCGACTACAGCATTCTCACTTTTAACATGTTTAAAATTCTTTTTGCCGCTTCTTTGATTTTAGTCGTTTGTTGCTGTAAGTTAAGTTTTTATTTGGGCTGTTGAAGTGTTAATGAACTTTTGCGATTGTAAACGTCGCACAAATTGTTGAGGCTATGAAATCATGTACATAACAATTAAAAGCCCCATATGCAGAAATGTAAAAAGCGACAAAACAAAAGACAAAAAGAAAAAAAAATGCAAATTAAGAGCTGCTTGAATTTTGAATGTAAGTGTAGCAAGCCCAAGGGCTCAAGGGCACAAGATATGTGAATTAAAACCTTAAAATGTGTTTGCCCAATTGGTAGAACGTGTATTTCTCTAGGTTTTTATGCTCTCAACAGACCTTGAACCACAACGGCGGAAGAACTTTCGTCAGAATTTCACATAAAAATTTATTACTCAGTTGGCGGACGATCGAGAAACGAAGTCAAAAAATAAACATTCGATCATCGATTGACGATTGTCGAAGCTACTGGGCTACTGAGCTATATCTCAAGTATTTGTGTGTGTCATAAATAAATATTATAGTAGTGATAAGGTGATTCAACCATAGCTGACACAAAGTCTATTGATTGAACTACGTCATTGTGTGTCCGAAAGATTCCACGTTTATTTCTGGTCATGTCACCAGTTATATGACACATGAGAATCAACAATCCAAAAAATCTAGAAGCAGCTAATTAGGTTTTAGTAATTGGTATTATTCAATTTCAGCCAACAGTTTGTATTCACATTCAGATTGGATTCAACGCTTACAGATTGAGCGTGCTCAATTAATCAAGTCAAGCCGTTGAAGAAAGAGCACCCTGAACCCCAAAACGAACTTTACACTCTGCAGTTGGGTCGCAATTAATCTTCAAGTCTCAAGTGTAACATGAGGCGAACCTTGGCTAGTAGTTTGGTAGTTTGGTATTTAGCAGGTTGTTGTTTGGCCAAAGCGTCGCTTTATTATGCATATCTTGATGCTTATCGCACGGATGTTTAATGTAGGCTCAACTTTTGGCGCTGCCTTTTTTTCATCATTTATTTTATTTATTTATTTTTGTTTTTGGTTAAAAACTTGGCGGCGGGTCGTTGGTTCAGTATAGTTCGGGACACCTGCCACAATTTTATAATTTGTAATCTTTTCGGTTTGCTGCGTTCTCCTGGCATTTCGGCAATTAAATAACACCGTTCTATTGCCGCTGAAGCTAATAACGAAATTCTTTTACCAATTTCGGCATATCTGCACACAGTTTCACAGTTTTTATACAAGTATTTTATTTTTTTTTTTAAATATTTTTTGTTTGGCAACCCGCTGCGAGCTCTGAAACAGGCAACTGGCCACATTTAATTGTAATCTTCAGGGGCTCCATCGATGTGTGTGCGAGTGTGTGGTGTGAAAGGTTGAGAAGATTTGTGATTGGCAATGGAATTTCATTTGGCTGTTGGGCAGGCTGAGAGGGAATCAAATGAGCTAATAACGCATATATATGTACTCTATATATATATATATAATTAAAGCGGCATCGGTCAGAAGAAGACTACAATCAACTGGAATGGCTGGCATATAATTCTTGGTACTTCACATATATATACATATGTATATTGTATATGTATATATTTTAAAGCGATTGTACTTCAAACGCTGAAGCGAGGCATTTCCGTGCTGTCGTCGTCGCTTTCGAGTCGCTTTCGAGTCGAGTACATGCCAAAGTGTCGTCTTTAATTAGAAGCGAGTGAAACCAAAGCGGCTGACAGTCAAAGCCGTCGTTTTGGAATCTCAATGCCAAGAACGCTACCAAGTTCTTTGGAACTGGCTCGCTCTCCCGCTCGCTGGCTTGCTGGCTCGCTTGCGCATAACTCGAAACTGGCTCTAATAACTTCCGCTGTTATCAGCATGCGATTGCATAAGCGAACTGCACAGCGCCACCTATCGCTGATAATTATAAATTGCATAGCGCAGCGCTGTGTTCCCACAATTACTCTCCACCCGTTCCTCAGTCATTCCGTCGTTCCGTTGTTCCGTCGCGCGTTCGTTCCCTTCCGTTTGTCTCGGAAAAAAATCCTGTAACAAATTGCTCGCATTTAGCGCACAAAATGCCACTTAACAGAGTGCACCCCTCTCTGCAATTCTCAACGTGGGAAAATCACTTCTTCTTCTTTGCGTGCTGCTTTCCTGCACACACACACACACAGCATTCGTATGTAATTGAAATTAATATTTCCTACTGTATTCCTTACATTTTTATTTTTCGCCATTTTCAGCGATTTCTTTAAAACATTTTAACACTGCTCACTTGTCGGTCTTCCTTTGACGTGGCGAGAGGCGAAACAAAAAAAAAAAAATAATAATAATAGTAATATGTTATACAAAAACAAAAACAAAAACAAAAGAATCCGAGAATAAAATGGTTTTTACAAAAATGCGTAGATTGGTAGCCGGCACATTTTTATACATGGCTAGCATTCTGTGGCTGCTGTTGCCGTTGCTGCTGCTGTCGCTGTTGCCTGTTCATCTTCTTCTTCTTCTCGCGGTTTCTTTTGCAGCGAATTACTTGTAATATGGTTCAGGTTCAGCTAGCGAACGTGGCATATTTCATTTTAATTATTTTATTAAAGCCTCGGCCACAATGTGCAATTATTTAAAGTGTTCAATGCGTCGTTTGATGGATGGATGGATGATGTTCGGACGATGGCAGCTTTGAACAATCTGCCTCGGGGCTGCCTTTTGAAATCTCAACAACAATATCCAACTCACCACACAAAAGAAAATCTCTTGTTAGTTACAAAAATATATGCAAAACACATAAATATATTAATATAATGCATATTAATAAGCTCGGGCTAAATTGTCTGCTTGACTAGTGTTTAGACAGATTTCATTTGTGATACCTGCAATAAATTAAACTTGCAAATTGCAACGCATTAAGCCAAAAACATGCGACTTCACCTAGGCAAATTGATTAGACGTGTGTGTGTGTGTGGTTATATACTGTGTATATAACAAACTGAGCAATAACTCAACACACATAAGCCAAACAGCTGCTATAGAAACAGCCGGTTCTTTATGCTAAAAGTGTGCAAATATCTAAGATACAAGTCGTCGTACCTAATACCCTGTAGACACTAGAGACGTGGATGACGAATAATGCTCTCATTCCAATAGACAGAAATAAATAATCAAATATTATATATAAGCTACTATTTAGGTTATATACATAAATAAATGTATATATATATTTTATTATAGTTACGAATAAAATGATAAACAATTGAAAAAATGAAGAATTTTATAAATCTTTGGCTATAAAATATAAATTGGAATACTTTAGTAAGGATTGTGGAAACACAGAAAAATCC